ATACCAACTTGGGAGCTTATTAGGAGCAGACACCATATATCACATTGGAAGTTATGACTAGGAATAGTAAAATATGAAGAGAATATAGTAGTTACTAGAAATAGTTAGTTAGGAAGCATAAACTAAGTGTATAGATTACTCTAGTAAGTTTAGATCATAGATAAATTAGTCTAAGTCTCTGTTGTCTATAAATTAATATATATAAAATCATCTAATTTACAAAGTTATATGTTAATAAAAACTAGAGGCATGATCTTACTTTAATATATATAAAAAAAAAAGAGCTATACCACAAAATTTTATTAATGCAGCTACTTTAATGTCTTAAGTAAAAAATGATTCTAATCTTATTTAGTAAAAAATATCATTTGAAAAATTGTTAATTTCATTTCTTTTCTTAGTATTTAGCTCATTTATATTATGTATATAAAGTTTTAGCACTATATATTTATTTTTAAAATTATTTGTTCTAGATTAAAAACTCATTTTAATGTATGAAGATTTGTTGATTCTACTATTATTAATTTAACAATATGATTTAATTACTATGCTTAATAAATTGAATAATAATATTAACTTAAAAAAAATTTATCACCAGAATACAGGTTGGTATATAATTATACCAAGCAGGTGAGAATAAATTTTTGAAAAAGCTTTGTATTTGCTAGTGTATAAGTTGGCAGTATGTATATCATTTCTATTATATATTTTTGTTTTAAACTATTATAAGTTGTTTTATTATTAAAAACTTTTAATCAAAATATATCAAATTTAATAAATTTAAATTTGAAATCCAAGATTAAAAGAATGACACTTCACTATTTTGAATATAGGTTGTTTTTACACTTTCTAGATGCAAGGTTATATAATCTATATCAAAACAACAAAAAAAGCATGAACAAGAATATTTAAAAAACTATTAGCTAAAGATATATTATAAAAAATTACAGGTTAATAGTCTATTTGAACCTGGATTTAAGGCATTAGTTAGTATTAAACTAATAAAAAAAAACAGTAATACTAATGAAAATATAGATAAGAAAAAAGATAAGAAAAAAGATGATATAAAGGAGTAGAAAGAAATCATTAAAGAAGATATTGATAAGATTGATGAAGACAATATAAAGGAATGAAGAATAATGAGAAAGAAAGCATATCTAACAATAAGCTACAGTCAAGCACACAAGATAGTAAACAAAATAACACACCATAAATAAGTATTAAATTACTTGTTAAACAGAAGCTATAGTTATTTCAAGATGCAACAAATATCAAACTCCTTAAAAATATATTGTTTTTCTACATATCCTTATAATGTTGAAGAGGTTTATGTAAAATTGCAGGAACAAATTAGGATTTGTTTACAAAATGTAAAATTTTCTTATTGCCTAAATATAAAGATTGCTGAAATCTTAAACAAGCATTGGTAAATGTTAGGATAAATTTATTGGCAAGAGGATATCCAAAATAGAATGCTATTATTTCTAAGATTGGAAAAAGAAATACTTATCAAAAGTAAAAGAAAAAATGAAAAGTATAATAATAATAAGGATCTTTTAACTGATGAAATTGATGAAAAAGTATATAAACTTATTTGAGAATTTGTGTTTTCTTTGATATTGAGCTTTTTTAAGATATATTAATACTGTTTACAAAATATTCCAAGTGAAGATAACATAATTTGATATATAATAACCAGTTAATTTTATTTTAGCCAAGGGCATAGATTTGGAATCAGATGTTGTTTTGTTATCAAGTATTTGAAGATGATCATAGTTGAATGAAGGTATATTTAATTCTTTTATACTTTTAAATTATTAATATTTGTTAATATGTTAAATTTTGAATTTTAGTAAACAAAAGCTTAATTTGGTTAGAAAATATAATAAGTAGAGTTTGTCAATCTGCCACATTGGAAGTTTCTTTATTGAATTTATTGGAATTTTTATACATCTGTATCCAGAATACATATTTAACTTTGGTTGTTTAAAGATGCATTTGGTAGATTATTTTAGTGAGTACGAAGTATTTGGTATAAGTTATTGCAAAATGTTTTGTACTAAGTACAAGTTTTAAATATAATTTATGATAATATTAATCATACATTCTAATAATTTATAATGATCTAAAATTTAGTAAAATTCTGTACTACACAAGTATTCAAAATCAAGGGTCAATACAAATACTTTATCCTCAATTAATATTAATATCAAATTCGCACCTAGAAAATGTGTACCGGATAACTGACTGGAAAGATAGGTCGGAATGATAAGAACATTCAGAACTGGAAACCAAAATTACTCTATTCGCATTGTCATGTTAAACATTACATAAAGATTAATAATCGATATTGTTATTAATGTTAGCATAATATTTTTTGTGTATTTTCTTCCTAAAAAAAATAATGATGCAAAACTTGTTATAAACACGTTTTTAATATTGTGAACAAGCTGTCAAGAAACCATCAAACTAAAACTAAATAAGCTTTAAATATATCAAACCTATCTATACCGCTTCAGCAAATATTTCTGTTAGCTTATCAGTATCAAGTTGAAAATTACAATGACTGTGAAAATAAGCAATGTTCAGCCGTTTGAAGAAGATATTGAAATTTCTTTGTATTTTATTCACAATAATTTTATTTATAATTAAATAACGATAAAGATCTAATTAAGCATATACCTCTTAACAACATGGAAGATTTCGAAAAAGGATATGAAACATCTAAATATCTAACTATGGGCAATTAGTGCCTTATCCATTTCAACAAGATTCCTCAGCAGTCGAAGTAGGTCAAAAATTAGAGTTCAGACGCATCAATTTAAAAAAAATTCGTGTACAAAAAAAAAAAATATTAATCTAGGATGAAGTATAATACATAAAAGATTAATCACAAAAAAGTACAGTCAACTCGTTATAGAAAATTATTACAGTCTATTTATTAAAAAACACATGGTACTTTTTATATTGAACTATTATGAAATTCCAAAATTTTGAGTTCATTCGACTGCACATAATTTATTAAAGAACGAACGTCACGAAAAAAAAAAACAAACCAAATGGTTAAACGGAAATAAACTAAAGCCAAATGATTAAATAGAAATAAATAGTTATATTTTTAGAATGTCAAAATTCAATATTATTTTTATTTATTGTGTATACATTGTAAATTGCGTTAAATATTGCTTTATATGATCTATTATTTAATCGAAAAATAAAGTCTTATCGTTAGAAAAAATAATCGAAGACTTAACTTCCGGACTATAATCCGGACTATCATCCGAACGATCATCCGATCCAAACCTGGTACACATTTTCTGAGTGCTTGTTTTTGATGCATCAAAAGTTATGACTTTGAATGAAAATCAAAAATGTAATTTTTGCCTATGCGTACTATATCTATATTCGTATAAATTACTTGAAGCTTACATAATACAATGATCATCATATGATTTGTCATTGCAAGCTTTAATAACATGAAATTCCTATATCGATATGTGAAAAATCCTGAAAAACAGGTTAGATAAGTTTGCCTCGAGGATAAAATTTCGATATTGAACCTAGCTGCCGCACCAAATTTGTCACGGATTGGGCCCGCATTACATCATTTTGGCCGGAATTAACTTTTTAACTTTTTCATTCCTAAAATGGAAATTTTTAGAGAAATAGGCCCGGACAATGACAAAATTAGCCCAGGAATATTTTTTACTTAATGTGCAGCTGTGGTTTCATTAGTAAAATTTTGAGTAACTTCGGCCTAAATTTTTTATCGTCGCCCTTATCCAAGGAACATCCGTGACAAAATTGGTGCGGCAGCTAGGTCCAATGGATAAAATAATCCTAAGTCTGTAAGTCTGTAATTTATCTCAATAGACGATGTGGTAACACCAATATAATTTGATAATAAAGATTACGTGACCAAGAGGTCACTTTCAAAAAAAATAAAATAAAATAAATCATACGTACTTTCGTACATACGTACGTACGTACATAGACTATTACTTTTCTTTGTTTGCACTACCTTGTAAAAAATCTCCTGGCAAAGCCACGGGTAAATAAGCTAGTCAAATAATTCACAAGGTAGTACAATTTTTGGTGGAGATTCTATAAAGTTATGTTTTTGATGCATCGAAAGTTACGACTTAGAATGAAAATCAAAAGTGTTAATTTTTGACTATGCGCACTATATTCGTATAAATTACTTGATGCTTACATAATACTATGTCCATCATATTATTTGTCATTGTAATCTTTAATGGCTAATTATGAAAATCCTATACCGATACGTATACGTATTGCTAACGCTAAATGCTAAAAATTATATTCTAATGCGTATTAATATGTGCATCGTTTGAATTTCGTAATATGACGGATTTGAGTATGATTTCTTCAATAATCATCATACATCGGATAATTAATAGACGCATGCTTAATTCTTTGAAATTTGAAATATGAATGCACTCTAATGACGTTATATTATATGCCAAATCAAAGTTAACATCAGATCAAAATTTAATCACTGACTTTCATTAAGATTAGGGAGAAATTTATACATAGTAAGGTTGTAGTAGATGTTTGCGATATTATAATTATTTGAATCTGACACATATATTATAGTTATTCACTAAATACACATATATATCAGATCTCGTTCATTTAACATTTGAATATTCCAGATTAAAGTTATCAGATTTTACCTTTGCATTATAATGATTCATTTTAATTTATATATGTACTTTTGTTTTAAATATATGTTTTTTTTTTGTTAAAAAGTTTACTACTGCAAAAGATAATCTTTTTTATTCGAAAAAAAGGGGATTATAGTTGTCATAGTTCATTATTTTAGGTTTAGTATAACGGCCGATCTGTAAGTTTTACTGTATTGAGCTATAATGCTAGCACATCATATGAAGTTTATCCGACATTATAAATTAGTTGTAAAACTTCTAAAGGCGACTAAATAGTTAAAACAAGGGTAAAAAAAAAAATTAAACTCAATGATGATCAAAAGAAAAATTAAAATCGCAACATTGAATGTTGAAATACTCAATAACAGAAAAAAATGTCAGGAAACCTTACAACTGCTCAAGCGGTTTATATATGAATTAAAAATAGATATAATTAATTTACAGGGAATAAGATTATCTCAGCAGAATAAAGAGTACGTTGCGGAGTTCTTATGGGATTATGATTCATTTTGGTCAACAGAAACGGCGATTCTAGCCGGAAATGAAAGTGTCCGTTTTGAAGACATTGAAGAAATTGAATACGGAATCACCACTAGTGTCATATACTATGACAGAACGTATCAAATAACAAATATATACGTCCCTTGTGACACTGATGAAGTAGATTTTTTAAATTGGATCCCATACGGAATATACAAACAAGACAATACTGTCAATGTAATAGTCGGCGAGTTTAATATAAACTCAAGCTCACTCTATAGTGAAAGGATGTCTGGTTTTACTGACATTGTGGATATATTAGGTGAATCGTTTATTCAAGACGTGCCAAACAATTGTATCTTGGTAGATAATGATTATACCCACTTTTGCCAAAATGTTGAGGCATTTACATCACACAAACATATAAATCCTCTGGTGGTATGCACACTCGATCCATTCATCTGGAAACTATATAAAGACTTGCTCGAAGATTCTGAAACTCAGAGAAAGATTGCCAATAAAATAGTTAATGTCAATACAGTTTTAGATTGGGACCTCCTTAAAAAACAGTTTCAATCCATATTTCGCAAACAAAGCCGAAAAAAAAAACGTTCAACTTCCAAATCAGACTCTTTTGATATCAAGGAGGATCTTGCTTGTTTAGATAATGAATTACGGGAAAGTTTAGTTAATGCTGGGTGGGCTGAGACTGATAAAAGGGCAACTTCAACAATTCGAAATCCATCGGCACCTACCTCCAAAGACCCAAAAGTTATTTTAATTTACATAAGAAATTTCTATCAAGAACTTTTTAAAAACGATATAATTGACTTAAATATTGCAAACGAAATAACCGATGGTTTAAAAAGTGTGACTGAAGAACAGAATAATTCTTTGATAAAAGAATTTACTTGTGAGGAAATTTCTAACATAATAACAAAACTTAGAAATAATAAAGGCCCAGGAATCGACGGTTTACCATTTGAATTTTATAAAAAATTTCAAGAAAAACTGGTTCCTATTTTGAGAAAAATTTTTAACCTTATTTTAAAAACAGGTGAATTCCCTCCTTCATGGCTTAAAAGCGTCATAATATTACTTCCAAAAAAATCTAATAACTTAACTGATGTCGCGAACTGGAGACCGATATCACTAATTAATTGTGATGCTAAAATTTTTACAAAAATAATGTCGAATAGACTTAATGAAATATGTAAACATTTAATAGGGCGTAATCAATATGGTTTTGTATCTGGTAGAACCACTTACGACGCAGCTTTAAATGTAATCTCTACTATGCGAGGCATGCAAAGGCAAAAGAATTTATCAAAGGAGGCCTGGTTACTGTTTATAGATCAAAAAAAGGCATTTGATAGAGTTAACCACACATTCCTTTTATTAACACTTGAAAAAATGGGATTTAGTCAAGTATTTAGAAATCTATTGAAAAATCTTCTCTCGAATCAATCCGCTCAGATTTCTGATTCTGGTGCCCTCTCCGCACCCTTTAAAATAGGAAGGGGTGTCAGACAGGGCGATCCAATCTCTCCATTATTATACGTTTTATCATTTGAGCCTTTCTTAAAATTATTGGTAAAAAATATATGTGGGGTTGCAATAAATAATTTTAGATTTAATGCTTCAGCTTTCGCTGATGATTTAACAATTGGCCTAGGATGTTATGATGATTGGGACATTTTGTATTCCTTATTAACAAAATATGAAAAGGCTTCAAATGCGGGAGTAAATAAAACAAAATCTGTACTTGTTCCTCTAACGGTTGAAGCATTACACACCAAGTTACCAGGTGACGAAGTTTATAAATCACTTGTAGGAAATGAAACGACCAAACTTTTAGGTTTTACTATTGATGGAAAGGGACAATTGGAAGAAAATTTTTGGGAAAAAATGGCTGAGAACATTAAAAAAACTATGCAAATTATAGATGAACATGATTTCTCGCCTGATGATAAGATGCGTATTGTACGTATCACAAAATCTCATCTTTTATCTAAAATTTGGTATACCGCTTATCTCTTACCTCCCACCACCAGCCAATTTACTAGATTAAATGATTTAGTAATAACATGGATTAAGGATAAGCTCCCTCCTGAGTCAAATGACTTAGATTTTATGAGAATAAAAGATATGCTAGATGCTAGATTAGCAATGATCTGGTTAAAGTTACTAACGAGTAACGATTTATGGGCAAAAATAGAAAGGGATTTTATTGAAAAAGAATTAAAAAACCGCAAAATTTCTGTAAAAACCGCTTTGCAACTGTCAACCGAACCTAACGTATGGCCTTCGGAATGGATGTCACATTTTGCGGCCTGGAAAAGGCTAAACGGAAAAGTTCTCTCTACAGATGCCTGGCCGTGGGAATCAAATACAATTGAAATAGCGAATCTCAAAGCAGATAAATATTCTGTAGCGGCTGCAATGGAGTATTTATGGGCTGATTATGATTCATGGTCTATATTATATGATGATGATGCATGGGATATTGTAGAGTTGCAGACACAATTATAATAATTGTCGACCTTTTTACGTAAATATATCTGCACCTCTAATCTATATGGTAGTGTTATAAATGTCTCATTTACTCATATTTATTAGTAAGGTCAGATCAATTTAATTTTCTGCTTAACATAATCCTCCCCCAATTTTTAAAAAGTCGCATATAAAAATTGCAGTATTAGTTTTTTATATTTTTGCATCCAATTGAATTGTAGTATTTTTATTATTTTTTTTTATACCCTCCTCCACTTTTATGAGCTATTATATTTTATGTTAAACAGAAAATCAATTTTAAGTGGTCTAAGTGGTTATCATATATTCAGTTAATGCAAATCAGAATCATGAAAGTAGGAGGATAGCTTTTTTACGTAATATTAGTGTTAGTAATCTATTGCTTTCGTAAAAACAATGTGCTCTCCATTTCGCTCCGAAAAATTAAGCCAAATAATGTTATTTACCTGGTTTTTATAATAGGTATAAGATTTCGAACAAGATTTAGCCAGCTAGCTTTTTTGCTTTTTTAAATTTCATATACAAAAATTTAAATATATGAAATATTTTCATTTTTAAATTTAACCTAACTGGATTATAAAAACCATTTCATTAATTCTTTATTATTATTGTTGTTATCTTTTACTAGAGTATAAATTACGTGTACAGTTTTTTTAATTGGCATGTAATGATATTAGATCTAAAATATTTTAACAGGTGTTAAATAATAATCTATACATTATAAAAACAAACTCCAGTTACCAAAATTATAAACACATCATTAAATTTTCCTGAAATAATGACACAATTCACTGTTAAAACAGGACCCACTATTGAAATTATGAACTGCTGGAATTATTATGCGCTGCTGAGTTATAAAACAAAAATTATTAAAAAGTTGACTATATTCTGCTTCATTCCTCAATTTATATGGATTATTAATCAAATGGATCTCATAAATTTGAAAATGAATTACTTTATTTCTTAATTGGTGAAAATTTACTAATAATAAATTTATACATGCATAATAGAATTTTGATTATGAAATATTTTTTATTGATTTTACATTTATATTGAAAATGTTTATCAATTTTTTTTACATTTATTATCAATTTTTATATTCATTGTGTAAAGTGCCTTATACATAATAAATTGTTTCTTCGACAAAAACAAGCTTTGGTGCCACATTGTGTTTTTTGACAGTGACAACAATTCGTCTTTGGAATGGTTTCTTTTTCAGTAGAAAAATTATTTTTTCATACAAAGAACTATCAAACTAATAAACAAGTATTATTATAAAATTAATTTTATTCATATAATAAAATTCATATCAAAATAATAGTATTATTTATGAATTACTTATTAGAAAATAGATTTCTTTTATTGTAACTTTCATTTGATTTATTGTTGATATGACTTTGTTTTGGAGATTAATGTAATCTTGTGTTCTGTTTAAACCAGCTTGTTGTAGAGAAATTGTATTGTTTAAGAGAATTATTTTAAGAGAAGAATAATCTAATATTTCTAGCAACTTAAGTTCACTCATGGAATACCAATGTTCAAATATTCTAAATTGACAACCAACTTGGTAAGAATTCTGACCAGGTTTTTTTTGTAAAATATTGCAAGATAAAGATCTCTGATCCATTTTGTCTGTCAATATCAGAAATGTAGATTTTTATAAATTTGCCAGACTCAAAATTTCAGTTATATTTGGTTTTAAATCTTTTTTTCATTCTGCTTTATATAAGTTCTTGTTTTTTTTTAAATATTTAAAATTGCTGATTGTCAAATCTTTTTATTCTGTTTAAATATTGTATGAGCTAAATTCTATATATTATTTAAAGGCAAACATTACTATAAAGTTTAACATATTTTTAATTGTTAGTATTTTTATTATCATTTTTCTTTTATTTATTTTTATTTTAAAATAAACAATACTTGATTTAATACTGAGTCAGTTCTTCATTTTTTCTTTTCTTTTACTATATAATATCAATTTTTACTGAAGTCTTTTTTCTCAAAATTAACAATTTTTACTTCTTGCACCATATAGCATTAATTTTCACTAAAGCGTTCTTTTTTAGAATCAACAATTTGTGCTGTATAATATTGATTTTTACTAAAGGCTTCTTCAACTGAATCAGCAATTTTAATAATTTCTAATGCTTTATTAATTTAGTTATTTTTAAAATAATTTGGTTTGATTTTAAAATTATATATGCCAAGTAAATTTCTTGTGACTTACATCATCTTGCCATTTCACAATATTATTTATTTCCTTTTTTACATTATTATTAATCTTTTATACTTCTTATACATGCTGTTAATCACTAGTATTTCTTCTATATCACTATTAATTTCTTGCACTTCTTCTATATTACGGTTAATTTCTT